TTGAGAACCAAAACATGAGGTGCAAGTGGAGACACTAGTTCGTACTCCGTGACATGCTGACCCCCATAGTAGATACTGTACTTTTGTGGTTGGCTGATGCCTTACGATCGCAAATCTGTGATCTTGATCATCGGCAATATTTCCTGGGAACAGGGGACACTGCTTTGGTTGTGGAGTAAAGCTCAGCTCGCCTTGTACTCCAACCTTACGTAGTGTGTAGATCGGCATGCTGAGCTGTCCTTCCATTCCGCAGCTTCTAGAACTGGTATATTCTCCTATCTATCTTCTTACGTCAATGTAGCGGTGGCAACTATCTGCGATCAGTATATAACATGGGAAAAAAGCCCCGCATATGCGAAGGAGTGTCCAGCTTTCTCTCTACCTTAAAAGACCTCTTGCCAAGAAATTCCTGTTTACACCGTCATAATTCACTATCTTGCCACCCCAAGACCCCGCGACCTCTCTATCATCATCACCATCAATCGACCATGTCTCATCCACCCTTCAAAGCCCTGTTCGAAGAGTACGCCGAAGCCTTCAACAGCCAAGACATCGAAGCCGTCAAGGCGTATGTCTCCCCAATATCCGCTACAAGACCCAGGACCTCAATCAGGAGGGTTTCAGCAATCGATTCTATATGAACCATTGGAGCCGCCCCAACAGCCATGTGACCTACAAGGAAATCAGAGAGGAAGGGGACTCGGCCGTGAAGGTGACCAGCCTCAAGGCCGGAGACCTCTTGACGGAACGCTACCGTTACGCAAACGAGGATGGCAAGTGGGTCATTGTCGAATTGACGGAAATAGACAGGGAAGACCTTTAGGGTGACGGATCATCTGCTGTGCAGCATGACTTTGGGTAGCTGTGGATGAAGTCCAGCCAGTAAACATGTATGAAGCCGAAGATGGTGTGAATGTGCTTCAACAGTGACCCACAATCTGCTGCAAGCATCTTTCTGTTTTATTGGATTTACACGAGTGCATATCCAGTTTGCCTGTCTTGGGAGAATCTCACGTTCTCATCTATCGCTTACATCGAGCGTATGCATGATCCTTTGCAAGAATTTTGAAGGTTATGAAGACGAATATCCACTTGTAGAAGCGAATCGCACAATACGGTGCGACCCGAGTCATGTACATAGATTACAATAATTGTTACAATCATATACACAAGTCATCGTCAAAATTACCAGAAGGCGTACCAATGTAGTTTAGTGCGTGTTTCGCCCATCACTTTCGAGAAAAACAAAAAGAAAACATCTGCGCGCGAGGTGACATTCACCTGCACTGTAGGGTTCCCGCCCAAGACTCCTAAAATTTAGACATGATATGAACTTGAAACTTCTATGTTAACACACCACTGATCTGAATTCCTGCCAAATGTTGCCGACGGAGGCGTTCAGGCATTGAGGTAACCCCACTTTTTGGGGGCACAAGGCCAGCAGCATACAGGCGCAGGATATAACTTCTAAGTAAGCGCCTCCTGAGTGTGTAGAGGTACCATATTCGTGCTGCATGAGCTTGTGTAGCGTAACTTGGAAGCGATAGACCTAGGTGATCGTCTGCCATGCTTTGACCTTACATATGATCGCATGTCTCCTGATGTGCATGATTCACGGCTATGTGAGGGGTTCCCTCCAGACGAAGACATTTGCCGCACCCAAATCAACATAAAGCCCGGGAATCAGGACACGTTTTGGGCGAGAACGTGGAGACGGTGGGTAGGTCAAAGACCTGCTGCTCGTGGTATGAGATATAGCGAGTATATGGCTACTGAGTATCGAGTCCAGTAGTTTAACCTGTATATCTGGAATAGCTCTTCACCCCCAGCATAGTATAAGTACCGGATCCGGGAAATACTCAATAGTTTTCAGGTATGTATGAACGACTCCTGACAGATTTCTACCTTCACCACGGTATTTGTTATTTCGTCCAATCATACTATCCCCAGTGCTCGAGATCCCTGCGACAAATCCAGGCTTCGGGCATTGATTGAGGCGTGCCTGTCGCATGCGGGTTGCTGCGACCCGGATCGATCAAGCGAGCAAGGAGCCTGTCCAGTTGACGTGCATAGGGAATGCCCAGCCGCTTCGTGGTATGCTTCCCCGCATAACAGCTGGCCCATGAGGCAGCTTTCGCAATACCACACAGTACTGTACTGACACGTTCCGCGTCATAACTGAGTTCTCCTTTCCCTGCGACCCTTCTTCATCATAGTACTGAGTTATATCGATTGATAGCAAAGTCGTCCGTCAATAACTTAATTGTAGCAGTGTAACTACTTATTAGTGTGGGGTAAGTTAATCTCGCCTGAGACTTACCCTACGGCTTATCGCCGATAGATAGAAGTTATCGGCTTATCGGGGTATCTATCTTCTCAGCCTGGAGCAAGAAGCAAGGGGCTCTCCCTCTCTTCTCTCCTTGGCGGCCGTGCACGGCCGTGCACGCAAGCTATGCACTGCAGATAAGCCCAACCCCCACCCCCCCCCCCAAATGAGGGGCAACGTGCATCTCTCCCCGGGACCCCTTCATAAATAGTAGAAATCTCTCTTGACCCCTCAGTGTGCACTGACTTACACCTTAAGATTGACTGCTTCACCAAGCCCATCATCCCTTACCTAGACACGACACTCTCCCCGCAACCACCAAAATGTATAGCCCTAAAATCGGCGACCGCCTGTCCGCCCTCGACACCCCGTCGATGATCGTCGATCTCGACCTCATGGAATCCAACATCCAAAAACTCTTCTCCACCCTCCTCCCGACAGGGCGCAACATCCGCCCGCACCTGAAAACCACCAAAAGCGCCGCCCTCGCCCGCAAGCTCGTTGCCGCCGGCGCCAAGGGCTGCTGCGTGGCCAAAGTGTCCGAAGCGGAAGCGATCACCGCCGCCGGCTTCGACGACATCCTGATCACGTGCGAGATCATCGGGGCTCCGAAGGTGCAGCGACTGGTGGATCTGGTGAAAAAGCACCCGGGGATCCGAATCGTGGTGGACAGCGCTGTCGGGGCGACGGCTATCGATGCGGCGCTCGGCGCAGCGGGTGTGATCACGCCTTTGGCGGTGCTGATAGATCTAGACGTTGGACTGCACCGCACGGGGGTGGCGGATACGGCTGCGGCGCTGGCACTGGCGAGACATATTGCAGATAACCTCAAGAATCTGAGGTTGATCGGGGTGCAGGGATATGAGGGCCACTTGCAGCATTTGCACAGTCGGGAGGAGCGGAAGAGGGAGTGTCTGGCCTCGATGGCGATCTTGACTGGAACGGCTGAGGCGCTGCGCAACGACGGACACAAGATTGAGGTGGTCACGACGGGGGGTACGGGCACCGCGGAGTTCTGTGCCTCTGTGCCTGGGGTGACGGAGCTGCAGCCGGGGTCGTTTATTTTTATGGATACGGATTATCGCAACGCGGTGGGCGGGTTCTATGCGAATAGTCTGACGATCTTGTCGACGGTGATCAGTCGGCAGGGGGAGCGGCAGGTCACTATTGATGCTGGGTTGAAGTCGTTGACGACCGATAGTGGGCTGGCGGAGTGTAAGGATGCGAAGTACACCCATCTGAATCTCGGAGATGAGCACGGGGCTTTGAGTTGGGAAGCAGGCACCACTGACTTGCAGATTGGTGATCGGCTGGAGATGGTCCCCAGTCATATTGATCCGACGATCAATCTGCATGACTTTTACTATGCGCATCGGAATGGGGTGATTGAGGAGATCTGGTCGGTGGACTCAAGGGGAAAGGTCCAGTAGATGGCGGGGTTTTGTCTTCTGGGGATTTGGCATAATATAAAACTTTAGCATAGCACAAGACTGCATAAACTGTCTAAGCATGGTGGAGCTTTATGCTATATATTACTAGGAAAGTTGAATATGACAATTGAGATAGATCTTTGGTAAGTTATAAAGAAAGAAGTAGGGAAGGAGGGGGACATTGGCAGCGAACTAAGCTATAATGCTAGAGCGTAGACAATGAACTTTTGTTCGTGTAGGAATCAGAAAGTTCCAAAGTCGGGGCCAAATGGCAAGTACGAATAGTCTGGTCTCATGTTGTCCTGGTGCAGACTCTGGATCATAAGAGCCGGTAACAAACCCTCATCAATTATGCTTGACTTGGATCTCATTGTTCCTATCCTTGTAGGTCGATCAGGGTTCTATCCAGTCGATCGGGATAGTTCATTCGAGGTCTCTGTAGCTGTGGACCATATGACCGCAAGCCTATGAGATAGTACACCTACACCCCTGAGACATGATAGCCTTAGGTCTGAGAAGAGATGATTAAGGGGGAAGTGAAGGGATGACAAGGCCACGAACAAAGGGCTGAGACTGTTGCCTCCACACTATACACAGTATTTATACCCTCCCGTATACTTCTCCGACACCCCACATAATTCAAGCCCTTCGAAACCTGCATACGCAAGCCCCAAATCACCGACTAGTCGTGCCATATCTATTCAGGTGGTTGTGGGCGCACGATTGAGCTTATTCCCCAGGTGAAGAGATGCCAGTTTCCCGTAAGCTTCATAGCGCAACTGTGCAGTATACCCTAGTGTTGCCGTGCGGGCTGTACATATTAGGCGCATTCGTGCGTAGAGTGAGCCTGATACATAGATGGGGGAAGTTGTATGCACGGCCTGTAGACAGGAGTTTGAACATCTCGTATACAATAGTCTCTGCTATGATGGTACTGAACTTATTCCGAAGTCTTAGATAGGTGACTCAGTAAGTTCTTGGTCTCATGGATAGGTGACATGGCCCAGTTCCATAGCCCACCTGAATACCTACGAATATCATGTATGGAAGACAGGAACTTCAAGATACCCGTATACAAGAAATGTAGCTAGTTATACAGTTTTTCCGCACACTAGTATACACATGCACCCCCTCACAGGCTCCCCCAGAGCCAGCATCTCCCATTTATCTCCCCTCGTTTCTCCTTCTCCATCGCAAAAGAAGTAATGACTCTACCGTGACACCACCAATAAGGATCACCGAGCTCAATACAATGGGAGCTTGTAGGCATCAAAGTCATACTGCCAAGTCTTCAGGGAGGCCTCGTCGTACACGCAATTCATGGTGGATCCGTTGTTGGCCCAGAGAGGTCGCAGCGGCCAGCGGCAGAGCGAGTACTCCTCGCCCTTGGTTGCCCCTGAGAGCACCGTCGCGTTCAGGGTGTCAGGAGCCTGCTTATTCTCCACCCAGTCGATCAGAGTGGCCAGGGTGGTCTGGGGGAAAGGGCCTGGCTGGTAGCTGCTGGGCGCGCAGTGAGCGGCGCCCGGGACCAAGAACAGACGGTAGAACTCTCCGAGCGCCTCTGTGCTGGCGTTGAACGACAGGCCCGGATACATCATTTTGCGGACCGACTCGTGGTAGTGGACTGAGGAGCCCGGAGGGATGCTGGGGTCGGACTCGCCGTGATAGTGCAGCACCTTGCCACCCGCCTGCTCGAAGCGGGTCAAGTCAGGCCAGGTGGTCTGGAGCACATCTTCGTACTCGGTCCAGCCCCACTCCATCCATTCCTTTAGGGTATTGTAGGTCACGTTCTCCAGGGTGGGCAGTTTGCTCAGTTGCTGGTACTGCAGGAAGCGGGCGACATACTCGCCGCCGAGCGCGGTGATGTCCAGCTCCCACTCCCCGCTGGTGCTGTGCTGTTGTATTGCGTCTCGGCATCGTCGAAGGATGCCGACAGTTGGTACCAGATATGGGCCCGTTTGCCGTCCAAGGTATGCAAGCCGTTGTAGAGCGTCGAGGCGAGGGCGACGCCGTTGGCCGAGATTGTGCCATTCTGCGCCGGCGTGGTATAGCTCTGGGACAGGAGACGTTTCTTAAGCGTTGTCGTGGTCGATGACGCCGGGCAATTATAAGGAGTTCCGAGAGTGGAGTTCAGGTCGAAGTGCAGTTTGCACAGGTCGGTCCGGGAGACGACACCGTCCGCCTTGCCATCCAGCCCATCACAGGCCGCAATCGTCAAGTTCATGATCTTCTCCAGCTCGCACGGGGGCGGGTAGTAGCCCATTGTCTGTTCGGCCACGTTGGGGAACAGATGGTTCACTTGCTGCTGGCCGAAGCGAATGGCCGGTGCACCGATCACGGCCCCGTCCCATTCATCCGGGAAGCGTTGGACCTGGCTCCAGCCCTCGCGGCCGCCCTCGGAGCATCCTTGGTAGTAGGAGTACAGCTTGCGATCCGTGGCGTTGAAGAAGCGCTGCGTGAAGGCTTTCCCGATCAGGGACATCTCGTGGTGACCTTGGTAGCCCAACATATAAATCGGGTTCCGGTCTAGGGTTCCGTTGGCCACGGGCTCCACGCTGTTCAGCCCTTCGCTGAACCCGCCAAACCCACCGTCCGTGATACCGGCTGCGGCTCCGTAGATGACGCCTCCCGGTAGCAGGCTGGTGCCGTAGTTGATTGAGAACGCAAACCCTCCGGTTGATACCCAGCGGTTGCGATACTTATCCGGAGAGGGCAGCCACAGTTGCAGCCAGACCTCATCACTCATGCCCTGATGCTAATAGGCAAAGGTCACGTTGCAGTAATCGAACTGCATGGCAGGGAAATAGTCTGATCCGGCAGACGAAGCGTTGTAGACTGCAGTGGCTACCACGGTCGACGGCTTAAGCACAATTCCATGGCCCAAGTCGGTCGACGGAAGAGCACTGCGGGCGTAGTCGCTCGTACACACATCAGCCATGGAGGCAGCGCGGGCCAGAGTCAGCCCCGTAGCGCTGGCCAGAAGGCCCAAGGAAGGTTTCATCGTGTAAAAGACAAGTTGGGCTGTTGAGAAAAAGAATATTCCAGTTGATAGATCTGGGATGTTTGTGGCCTCATCTTATACACAGTCTGAATGACTCTGCTACCTGCCCCTGACCGGCCGCGTCACATCCACATATTCCTATTCCTTGCCCGAACGTGAAGGGATTAGTGATGCATACCTGCAAGGCTGGTTGCCTCCGGGGAAACAAATTGACGAGATCGTCATCGAGAAGCCCGAAAGAGCGGGTCTGCTCCACTAGGCTTGAGCTTGAATATGATGGGATTGACTTTCATTGGCCGCAACGTGCCGCTTAACAAAGCACCTTGGCCCAATGTTTGAGCTTATACTGTAAAACGAATAACTTGATTCATTTCATGTCTTGTAGATTCATGGCTGCCTGCTATATAGCTGGTCCCCATAGTTAACGTCTGGAACGCATTCAAGCCTGCGGGCCCTGCATCTTTCCGCCCCACCACTATCCATCAAGGCGGGAAGCTTGCAGGCTGCAGGCCGGCCTGGGGAAGTGTATACTTGAGTCCAACTGTGAGATTCTGTGCTGCCTGAGGAAGATGCGCGATTCCTGGAGGGAGCTACTACTGACAGACCCTGGTTATATAATTCATCCGTAATATGTGGGCGGATGAGAGAGGAGTTCTACATTTCATACCCCTCTCGTTACCTGTGAGGCCGAGAGACCTAAGACTGTAGACCACGACAATTATGGGACAGGATGCCATTTAGTAACAGCAACTCGGCCAGGAGCTCTAGGGCCCACACCAATAAAGGAATCTTTGCGGGATGAAATGATAAACCAAAGCATTGGACGGAGCTTGCTAAGATTGCATCATACTGGGGGGTATAAAGAATTAGCCGCCGCCTTGCACTAACCCCTTGAACGGTAGTCGCTCCACTATCCACTTGTCTAATATCTCCAGCAGAATTGGCACTAGTACAGTGGTCAAGAGAGGTAAAACAGCCTCTGCTCATTCTGTTGGAGTATTATCTTGCACAAATGAGCAACATTAAGGTATCCCGTCAAAACAACGTATGTATAATAGAAAGAAACCCACTACAGACACCTTGCAAAATCGCGTAACCACCGCCCTTGCCTCTCTAAGATAAAGTAGTAATATATAAGATATCCACAATACTTCTTGTATCAGCCGATCTGGATTCTTATTAGCCTTTAAATATCTGACAGTCGCGTAGGTGTTCTGCTACGGAACCTTTTGTATCTAGAATCTTTACATACATGCTTAAAAGCTTTGAAAGAAAGACAATAAAAAGTATCATCTACTGAAAGCTCTCCGAACAATACTTTCAGCCTTAGCTAGGTGGCTCTATGAGTCGGCGAAATGTCTTCAGTGAATTCCCAATCGAAAGGTTCTGGTCTATGTTGTGGCACAGGAAGGCTGAAGATGTTGGAGCAACCTACATAACATGCCGTTAGTCCTAGCATAAAGGGCAATGGGACGCTCTGCCTGTGTAACTGTGCCTACAGAAAGGACATTTCAGGTCGAAGAGCCCATCTTGGATTAGAAGACTTCATTCCAGGCCCGTCCGATCCCTCAACTTCACCGGCAGCGGCGCCTTGACCCACACGCGTATGTCTCCTGATCCTCCCACCGACCGAGGCTATCCTCCGCCTGGAGATCAAAACAATACAACAGTTTCCCCAAGATGAGTACAATCCCAATACGGGCCAGAATTTGGCCGATACAATCCCGCGGGCCCTGGAGAAATGGTTTCATTGCGCGTCGACGGTCTTTCTCAAATTTACCTTCCGGCCGCAGCCAGCGGTCGAGGTGGAAACTCGTAGGGTCGCTGTAATTGTGTGGGGAGACATTGGCGGTCCATTGCATGTAGGAGACGACTGTCTGGGGGTCAAATTTCGAATTAGTGCTCGGGGTTGGTGGCCTATCGCAATGATGGCGTCTTTGAAACTAAGGGAACGAATTAGGGCTACTTACCCCATCTGGGAAAAAGTCGCCCGGAATGGTATGGCCAACCTCGGGAACAAGACGGGTCAACCCGAGCGGCACGGGCGACGTGAGTCGAATACCCAGGGTTCCTTGATGGCAGCATCGAGGACAGGCAACTTCAGCAGCGTCTGGGCATTCATTTGATCCGCCAACACGAACGCACCGCGAACTTCGCTTCTCACGCGGCCCAAGACGGTCGGGTTCTGCATCAAGTGGAACAAATCTCCGTGATAGCCGTCTGCAGCGTATGACTTCCCGCGCGATAAGAGTAGCGGCGGTGACCACCATCTCGCCTTTCGACAGCTCGTATCGGGATTGCTGCACCAGGTGGGCCAGGAAATCCGGTCTTTGCAACGCTTTACGTCCTTGCCCTGCACTTGCTGTAACCGACGTTGCACTTTCTCGCGGGTCGAGGCTTGGTGCTGCGCCATCAGGGCACCGACGGACTTGGGTAGCCGCCTGACGAGATAGTTGAACAGCCAGGGGTAGAAGCGGCAGGAGGCGAGCTGGACTTTAGCCTTGAGTGAGAAGACGAGCTGGCTCAAGCTGACGGGCCTTTGTGGTAAGAACGAGTGTCATTCGGCTAGAGATGGTGCCAAGCTATTACCAGGCATAAGCACTAGATGCGCTATCTTGCCGATCTATGCAACGGTGGGGCCCGGTCGACCCACCTTGTTTCTTTGTTTATTTTAACAGAGTTCAGTGTCTGGGCTCGATGGTGACAATCTTGAGAGACCGATTCGAGCAAATGAATCCTGATCGCTTGTCAATATCTTTCTAGTGAGTGGTCTTGTTGGCTGAGATAGCGCTGGCGGGTGATACTCTATCGCAGTCACATCTAGTGAATTAGATAGCCCTATTTGTCACACTTCACTAATGACTGAAGATCTAGGGATCCAGAGCCTCACAGACTAGGAAAAGAGTTCGTATAGGAGAATAGGCTAGTGGGAGTCATAGGAGCTATCAAGAACAGAGCATATGGGATCCAGCCACGAATGAACGTAGCACCCTGCACATTGAATTGGGTAGGGTGTTAGGTAGCCTAACGTCGCTGTACGGTAACATGATGTCAATACCGACTCAATGCAACGAGAAACGCCATCTAAAGTCTTTCTCTATGCCCCCTAAGCAATGCGTCTCGTGTCTAAATGTGAAGTCCAAAGAAAAACCAACACAACAGAAAGCAAAAGACAATCAGCTAGGGTCACAAATTAGAGCTGGTTTTAACTCCCGACTTCCCGCTTGATGATCTAGCGAGTAAATCACAATGCCTGTCAATCCTTAACCCTTAGTCTTCCGTCTCTGTCCCCGTCCCTTGGTAAGCCAGACCACACCATATAACAGCACGATATTGGAGCAGCAGAACCCCAGAAACGCCGCCCAGTTCCACCACCGCTGGTCGTACCCATACTCCAAGGTCGACAGATAGTCGTCTCCGACCGTGTACGGACAATACCCACAGTTTGCGGTCGCATTGGGGTTAACCAGGTAGCCCGGGTTCTGATCCAGATACAGCTGTCCCCCGCCACCGCTGCTGGGGCCTACATACTGACCGCAGGACAAACCGGGCGGAGGCTCGAAGCGAACGAGTTCCTCAGATCCACAGTCTACAGGGACATCATGTAGGACGACGCCGACGGTAGCGCCGAAGAAGTAGCGCATGGGGTCGACCCAGAAGAGCCAGGGGCGGTAGAAGTCGTTCATGTAGGCGTGGGGGGTGAGGACGCCGGAGCAGACCATTAGGACGACCCAGACAAGGGAGTTGGCGTAGCCGGCCAGGGTCGGGTCGGGGAAGCAGGCGGCCAGCAGCTGGGAGTAGCCGACACTAAACAGGGCGAGGAGCAGCCAGGTGAAGTAGTAGAGGCCCGCGACGGCGGAGACGCCCGCGGGGAACCCCACGGTCCAGTACGTGCCCAGAAACACCACCGTGTAGATCCCCAGCTGCCAGGGGATCTCGACGGCGACGAGCGCGCTCACCAGCGCCCGCCAGTCGTAAATGCCGTTCTGCTCGCGCGCGGTGAAGATGGCCCATTTGCGGAACCACATGTCCTGCAGGTCGGCGCTGGTCGTCGGGATGATCCACGACAGCAGCAGCACCGCGATCATCTGGTTCTGCAGGCCCTGTAGGCTCAATCCGGCTTTGAAAAAGCTGAAGGCGATAAAGAGGGAGACGAACAGGCTTTTCGCCGTCTTGCTGAACAGGTACATCCCGTCGCGCCACACGGAGAGCCAGTGCCGCTGTGTCACGGATACGGTTTGCGACCACAGTGATAGGGCGTATGCTGTTTGAGATGAAGAGGGGATAGGAGGATAGGGTGACTCAGTGGTGGTGGGAGTGGCGTTCAATCGAACGAGGGTCGCGTCAAGGGCGTTGCGTTCCGGAGACTCGCGCCAGATGGCGGGCCAGTCCTTCGAGCCCTCCTCTTTGGAGGTCACCGTCGACAGGATAAACTCCGCGGGGTTCGCCTGGCTATTGATCGTGGCGCCGTATCGTCCGAAATACTCGACGACTTGGGACGAGTTCTCGCCGGTTTCGCCAAAGTAAACGGTCTGGCCTCCCGGCGCCAAGAGCAAGACGTGGTCGAACATCTCGAAGAGAACTCCAGAAGGCTGATGGATGGTGCATACAATGGGAATCCCCTCGGCAGCGATTCGCTGCAGGAACTGCACGAGCGCAAAGGCCGCTTGACTGTCCAAGCCCGAAGTGGGCTCGTCGAGAAAAAGGAGCGAGCTGGGGCGCGCCGCCAGCTCCACCCCGATCGTGACGCGCTTACGTTCCTCGACGCTGAGCTGCCCGTCTCCAGGCTCGCCAATGAGTGCATCAGCAATGTCTTCCAGGTCCAGCAGGTGTATGATGTGCTCGACGTAAGCCAACTTATCCTCCTCCCCGACATCGGCGGGCTGGCGCAGACGCGCGGAGAACTGCAGAGCTTCCCGCACCGTGGCATTGGGTTCGTGCACATCTTGCTGCATCACGAATCCGCAAGACCGGGCAAAGGACGGGTCCAGGGGCGCTCC